AACACGACCGTCTTGACACACCCAGTCGGAGGGAGAGTGAGCGGCTTCTGTGCTCGGCCGGCGTATATATTGATCTGTCTGTCTGTCCCTTTCGCCCTTTCTAGGCCGCCGCGATTTTCGCGAACCACCCCAAATAATAATGCTTAACTCTACGCGACGACGTCGAGAGGGACGGCTGTGGCGGTCGTGTTGGTTGCGGCCGCCTCCGGGAATGTATTTATCGACTAAATTATTGGACATCGAAATTGTCAGGTTACTAGACTCGTGTGGCCGGTTTCTCCGATAGAGGTCGTGTCTATACCAAACGTGTAAATGTTTATCGAAGGTAGTAACTAACTGCAACATTTCAAAGATGGTCTTGACAACTTAGATATAGTTAGAATGCGCAAGTTTAGATAGTTTCAAATTGAACTTTAACTGTCAATACATTGTCTTAGAAACTGGTGATTTTTTTGTTATCGTTAGCACCGACTACAAATCTGTTGCTAATGTTATGATCGTCTCTTCTAAATGATATTTTATTAAACAGGGTGAATTCGAAAGAATGAAAAATCTGTGAAATGGAAACATAAACATCAAAAGATCACAATTTATATTAAATGATTTGAAGCTCTAAGTTAATAAAATCTTCTTCTTTGTACTCCAAGTACATGTATTTACTCAGAAAGAAGTTCTAAAACTAGAAGTAACACTTGCATTGTCACTATACCTAGAATTAAAAACATTCTGATTAAGCAATGCAACTTTTGAAAAAGTGCCAAAGGATTGCAAATTTTTGCACAATTCTGGTCGGTGTAATCAGAGCAAATAGCTTTATCCCATATTTGTGATTCTTGGTTTTGATGTACTGCCTGAAACACCATCTAACGAAACTTCTCTCCGAACGACATAACAGTATAAGAAATCAATCCGTCGGACGGTTGCTTTTCTCCAGGTTTTGAATTTTTTGGAAAGTACCGTACCTACCCCTGCTTTATTATCCGGCATTTCATTTCAAAACAATTCCTTTGTGAAGTACTCTGCACCAGTGCCAAAGAGACTGGTTCGTTGTCAAAGAACAAAGCGGATGCACGCTGGCCACGAATAAAACTGCCCGTACTCGCAAAGTTCTGCTGGTTTTAATTTGATGGCAGATTACTCACGGACGATGATTAGGAAACCATTTAAATAAAATATCTTAAGATTTGATTCTTCTCTAACATTCTTCCATTCGCTAAAATTGAACAGACCAATTGTCATAATTCCCAATGTGTTAAAAGAATACAATCACGCAATTGTAGCCATAAACAAATTAGCTCTGAAATGCGAAAATGCATTACCATACAGCAATGTAATTGTGGCTCGAGTTTTTGCGACCATAATTCTTTACCTATTACCCACACACACAACAACGAATACTATCTTGGTCATTAATTTCAAAATTACCGTACGTACCATGAGCCATGATTTATATAAATGATCATAAAAATTCAAAATATATATTTAATCAATAAATTTGTGCCATCTATTTGGCCAAAAGTGTATATGTTACCGCTAAAGCTCGAAAGCTATTAAAGTGCACATTTACTAATAGCATTAACTAGCTAATAGCAGATTAACTGATTTGCTCCGTTGCCGTACGGAATCAAGAGTTTTATGGGTTTTAACTGAGTAATGTGCACATTTACGGCTTTCCTGTCACTAAAATTTGAAAGTGTAGTAAATAAAAATGAACTAAAAAGAACAATATTCTTGTGAATTACTTTTTTTTGTTGATAATTTAGAAATTATTTCATTAATTAAAAATGTTCGCTACGGTCTTTTAGACATTTTATGATATGAAAAGCAACAGACTCCTGTTTGTGAGACCGACGCCACTAAAACTGTTTCGCTTGACATAGGCTACTACTGAAAGATTATTTGTGATAATATTATGAACCCTTTGATGCTTTGTATTATATTTCCTAGACACAATCTACTTTCTTCTCTTTTCTTTTCTGATTTCTGCACTTTAACGGTAACATATAAAAAAGAACTGGTCAGAAGAACAAAAATTAACCAAAACAATTCTCAATCCATACAACTCATATATCACCACAATATGTTCACGAAAGTTTATTTGAGGCATTTGAAATACTTGAGAACAATTGTAGCATGTATAAAAAGGTACTTAACCAGAGAATTCGCTGTGGAGATATTGTGTCTTCAAGCAGGAGAATTGATATTGAGTTTCAGCAAGGAAGTATTTTGAGCCCATGACTATAACGAGTTTTCTAATAAGAACATAACAATTTTGCAATTTAATACGAACGCACGCTTGAATGTTTATGATGATCTATCAACGTCAAAACGTCAGTGAAGATTACGAAATATTAACTATTGGATGTTGTGCTAGTGAGACAACGCAACGGTTGAAGTATATCGTTCGCAGGAACTGGGAATCTTTCTAAACATTTTGGGGTGATTTTTACGTAAAAATCTTTCCTTACATCCTTACAAGAATAAATTAACTCACAACTAACAGCGCTTGGTCCTTTGAAGCACCAAATCTTCTCAGATTAGGTTCTACTACAGTTTGAGAACAATCCTGAATTTTATCGAAAAATGATCCTCAACCTCATTTTTGACTTTGTCAATAATCAAAACATGCGTTATTGGTCATAACAAACTCACATGTACTGTTTGGTACTATTTAATAATAGTACCAGAAATCGTATTGGCCGAAGAAATTAAAGAACTCTTTTAAACGGAATGGAAACTAGGGCGGATACCAGCAGATTGGCAAAGAAACGTAATTATCCCTACATAAAAGAAAGGGGTCTCTTACTAAAGAGGACAGGAACAGAGGAGACAAGGCTACCAAGGCTTACTATGCTCTGAATCGGTGTGTGTTTGGAAAGAAGTAAGGCGTAAGACCAAAACAAGAGTTTATAAACTTGTTATTAAGCCTATACTTACCTATGGCAGTGAAAGCTGGACTGCAAATAGAAGGGACATCAGTAGAATTAATGCAGTCCAAATGACACGCCTTTGGAGGGTTGGAAGAAAGATACGACGGGACAGAGTACGGAACCGTATTCAAAAAGAGCTCAATGTGCAGCTGGTCGAGAGGATGATTGAAGATAGACAGCTGTCCTGGTTTGACCACGTTAAGACGAACGGGACGCAGATTGTGACCAGCCAAGGGAACTTTATGCAGCAACTCAAAAGTCTTGCTGTGGAGAGAGACAACTTCAGAAGATGGATCCGAGGTCATACCCCACGATAGGGGCACGCTGAGGAAGAGAAATAAGACAGAAAAAAAACCACATGTGTTTCAAGCAACTCCATTACAACTACTAAGTGAACCGTATGTTGTGAATTTCATTTCCGGAGGTTGATTGGGTAATATTTTTTCATCGATGAAAATTATCGCCATGTTACGGTCAATGGAGTTTGTTCTTGCGATGTTGGAAGACTAATTTTTAGCCAGAATTCTAATTCTTCTTCTTGGTTCTAACAAGATGCTACTTCATGTTAGAGAGTCGAACAAATAATTCATCTATTGAAGAGGAAGTTTAGGAATATGGAGATGTTCCTCAAGCAATTTAACGATGTTAGATTTTTTTAGATTTCGAATTGGTGCGACATTGTGGTACAAAAATGGCGATAGTTATGTCTTTATTGAAAACCCCGATAGCATATAAATGATCTAAATACGGTAATAAATAACTCTGACAAGGACTTACATTTAGTAATGCTCGCAAAAGTATTGATTGGTGAGCTTAAAAGCGTTAGCTACCAGAGAAAAATAAATAAATTAATGATAAGAAGATTAAGTTCATGTTATTATTATTAATTATTAATGGTTACAATTTAGAATAAGATGTTGAAATTGAATTACTTTGAAACATTAAACACTACATCTTATTCTTTGTATTCACGTTCCAATTTCTTTAAAAGTACAAATGCATTATTTCTTTGTCTCTATAAAATTCATGTTAACCCATTTTCTTTTGAAATATGACTGCTATATTCAACTATGTATTATAATCATATACAATATGATATTTACTATAAAAAATGAATTTATTTTTATAAACATATTATGTAACCTTTTCATAAAAGGGAGGGACAGTTTATAAAATTAGTGCACCCTAAATCATCCCCAAGCAAATAGGCATGAAATCACGCGTTACAACTATGAAAAATCAATACCAAGCTATTTGCCCCAAACAGAATGAAATATTTGATACGAATATTTCGGCAAATAATAATTATCATGATAAATATTTATATAATCGGCGACACTCGAATACGAAGTGGGTTTAATTTGAAATTGTGTTATCGGTGTTCAATTCTTGGTATTTTCTTATTGTTGAACTTTCATTTCGTCAGGATATAAAGGCGTAAATTGGTTGGTAGTCCTTGGCAAATAAGATTGGAGTGTTGGAGAAAAATATTTCGAAGACCTTTATTTGCCTTGTTTTATCCGTTGAGCAAGCATGTAATACTAAATTTCAAAATAAATTGAAGCGATTTTTTATAATATAGCGGAATTTTCGATTAATCTCGCTATTATAACTGTTCGTATAAATGTATTAGATCAATAACGGCATGGCATGACGTGAGAACCAGGTGCCATTCATCATCTTAAAAATAGCGTTTCATATCGAGTGGTACATTAAAAAGGTTTCTTTAATGTAGCCGTTTTACAATTCGAATTTTACTTCTTTTCAAATCGAAATAGAAAATATTAAAAGTAGTGAATATTTATTAGGCTAGCGGCACGTAATTCATTTGAAAGTTTTGCAAATATTGTTCTAGAAAGCTGTTACGATGCGGTTGTAATAATCCGCATACAAACGCCTCTAGCTAATCAAGCTTTATCCTCGCACTGCGCACAATTCAAACTGACGACGATGGGGAAGGAAGTTGGGACATGTTTTAATGATAAAGAGTAAGAGAGACATAGAAAGGTTGTTGTACAAAAGGGATGGAACAGACTAACGCCTATTGAGAGACTACAGATTTCGACTCACCCTTGTTTGGGGCAGACAAAGCTCTTGAGTGCTGGGTAAAACCTTGCCATCACACTGCAACAACAGGTCATAATGAGCTACGGGTTCAGGTATGTTTAACTTGTTGTTTTGTGTTTATCGGAATGAGAAGGTGTTAAGGTAAATTATTGTAATTGGCCAATAACACAATTCAATAATGATGATGCAAAAGGATTTAAATATTCATTTTCTCTTTGTTTGTTATTTAAATTTTGTCGGACTTTTCCTGGAAAATGAAATACATTTCCCAGAACAGACTTGTTAAAAAATTTATGACATTGAATCGACTGTTATATTGGACGTGTGCTTTTGTTATTTTCGTTTATAAAATAATACAAGTTGATGTGGTCACGAACAATATTTCCCGTAAATTATAAATACTACAAACAAATCCGTATAAAGCCCTTTTTGGTTTATATTTATTTCATAAAATTGATTTCTGTTATTATTATTTTGTCAAAAAAACGAAACTAAATATAACTTAATTTCCTACATCAAAACCACAACCACTTAACCCCCTCAAATTGAGAACGTAATAGCCGGGTTCATTTTGACGCGTAATGGGCCACCTTCACCACTTCCATTACGTCGGCGATCGCCTTTTTCTTGGAAGTTACGCTGTGCCAACATTTGCTCGAGTCGAATCAATCGTAATTTTATACCGGCAAACCTATTTTTACCGCGAGAGTCACGAAAAATATATTCAAACGTACACAATACACACTCCCTTATACGGTACTTTGGGACAATAACAAACTATAAGGATTTAGTTTTAAATTCTCTATTGTACTCTTAAATTGGCTTCAACATTAATACTGACGTGTTCCAAACTATTATGATTCCATTTATAATGTATTCGTTTGCAAACAGAACCAGGTAGGAATGTATTCAAAAGTTTCACATGCATATACGAATATGTACACGAGGCTTTAGCTGTTTTCCAATATCAGTTTCTGGAACGATACGTATTTATATGGAAATTTTTGAATGTTGTATGCACAAATTTCCACCTCATGATTGTATGATCAGATTCTAGTTTCCAAATAAGATTTCTAATTTTAACTTTTAAATTGATAATCTTTTAATAAATGTATATGTCTCTTTATATCAATTAATAAATTACGAGTGCTAATTCTTCTAAATATATTATTCATCTTCCCTTAAGATCTCAATTTAGATGACACAGCGACGCGTTCATTACGTTCTCTTGGAGAACATTTAAGGACCTCGTAACGTCCATATAACGCCCCAATGAAACCCTTCGGAACAATCAAATATTTATCAAACGATAAGGACCTTGCATGAGAACAGCTTGTGTATCTCTAAATACCAACATTAGTTAATTGTCGGGCCTTGGCATTTTAGTAGTTACAATGTTCAAGCTCAAAGCTGCAATTTATTAAAGCTATAGTTTACGAGGAATGTGTCTGATTTCGGAGAGGAATCTGTTTTTACTCGTCCGTACTTTGCTATGGCTATTTTAGTGCAAATTGGATCAAAGGCATTGTTATAATCGAGATAGTTGAATTATAAGATAGGGAATAAATCAATATTGGAAAAATAATTCGATAAAATTAATTCGGAAATCGAAATTGTAGATATCGGAAGAACCAAGTTGAGTAATCGGATATTGAAATTTCTAATTTAAAAGAACTGGGATGAATCTCAACACGGTTAATGAAGCTCTATTAGTCTATTGTCTTATACCTGTAATGAAAGGATATCAATTTAAAGTTGAAATACATTGTAATGAATTTAAGAATATAACGATCATCAAACAAAAAGAAATCGTCACTAAAATATTACGTAGATTAATTAACCCTTTCAAGATAAATAATTACTACTTCTAACCAGAAATGTAAAATTAATTTTCTAAGTGCATACTGGTTTTTACTTCCAGTAAAAACTACATTTGAATATGTGTTGCAGATGTAACAGTGATAATGCTTGTACAGATTTTATGTTGATTCATCTTTTTTAGAAGCTTATTTCAGGCTATTTATTATTGGACGAAGATTACTGGAATAATCAAGACAGAGTGTTCTCCCTTGTATTGATAAAGGAAAACGTTAGAGTGAGTTCAATGAAGTAAGAAGAATAGGCAAATAAGAAAAGATGGGTATAAACCAAAGAGAATTTTAACAAGTTCAAATATATCTTCCACAGCTGAAGGAATTATTAGTGAATAGCGGACAGGGTTTGAACATGGTAGGTCAAACCATAGATCAGATATTCACAGTCAAACAAATTCTGCCTACAGCTTAGGAACACGAAATATACGTGGACAACGTGTTTATAGACATTATCAAACAAGAATGAAGAAGAAGATTTCAGAAGACTGAAATAGGGAGACAGGTTGATGCCAATCTCATTTAATTTGGCATTGTGCAAAGCACTATTTACGCAGACCACAACAGACGGACTTAGAAATGAAGATACACACGTTAAGGGCCGAATTGAAAATCAACACACAAATAACAAAGATATTATCACAGACAGAAGGAAGCCAACCCAAACGTATTGTAGTGAACGCTAGCATCAAACCGGTTGAGCAACTTGTATACTTGAGATCGGAGCTAATGTTGCATTATCCCACATACTAACATCAAAAAATGACAAACTTAACAATAAACTTAGGATGCGAAGCATGGACAATGATAAAAAGTACAAAACAGCAAAGTAAGAGAGTCAGATATAACAATGAATTATATCAACTCATTGGAGGGTATCCTCGTATAGTTCATCAGGCTTCAAAGGCGGAAATGGGCAGGACATGTTAGTAGGCTGGAAGAAGAGACACTGAGACAAAGAGAACTATCAAGAAAGAACAGAGAGAACTATCTATGTCAGAATGCATAGGAAAAGACCGATGGGTATGCACGCTAGTTGCCGAGGGTGAAAATATCATACATATCACATATATTTAATTTGATTGAAAGATGTGCAAAATTTTCCATAAAATACAAAACACATTTTGTTTTTAGCCAGGATCAAAAATTGGGCATTAAAAGAATAAGACAATATGACACAAGATAAAATAACCTGATAAAGAAGAAATTGAAGAAGAAGAGCTGTGATGGTACTTCTTGTTCTTTTTCCACTTGTTTTAAATCTGTTGAATTATGAATTCGTAGCCTAAGTATGTCTTGTGATGTGGACTTCCAGATGTCCTTCCTTCTATTGGGAGGTCTTTCTGGTGTACGAGTGCTTGTTGGATTTTTCTCTAATACTATACGTGGTACTCTGCCTACATTCATACTCTTCACATGATCGTACCCTTCGTTTTTATGGTTGTTTTCTCATCTTACCACATCACATTAGTTTCCTGCTGTCTATATTTCTTATTTGGTCTCTCCTAGTCTTACTCAAAGTAGTTTGCAACCTTTTATTTCGGCAACACTTAATAAGAGTATTTTAAAATTTTTCCTAACATTGCTTGCAACATGGATAAAAAAGACCAGTTTTCAGTACTTTTACATACACAAATCCTACTTTGGATTTATACAATCATGCAAATTTCGAAAAGGGTTGATTAAGGATTGATTTACACTAATTTATGTAAAATACACAACAATATAATATTTTTACGTTAAATTAAATTTTATTTCAGCTTGTATTGATTTTATTGACCATAATTCAGATTCATTCATGTAATTTAATTTATGCAAATTTATGAATGGGATGGCAGCTTATTTGTCGGTTATCTCACGATGTTTTTGGTTTTAATATCGTAAAAGCAAAGAATACTCCTTCGTGTTCTTAGAGAAACTCTTGCATCCAAAAAGAGCTCCAGATATTAACGTTCTAGATACATATTTTGATTACAGTTCCAAAACATTTTTTTAAACAGTTTATTAATATTCCCTATCTCTTTGATGTAGAAAATAAATTTTTCATTTTCAAAGCAGAAAGTTATTTAGAATTACGATTGAATACAACTTTATTTATTTGTTGTTATGGTATGACCAACTGTCCTCTACCTTTTAATAAACCAACTTGTTTGATATGAAAAATATCAAATACACCGTTTTTATTGATTTTCTGTGATACAAAAATACTTCATGAAATATTAGATGATACATGAATGAATAACGTGAAGCCACGTTGCACAATTGAATTATGGTCAATAAAATCAACACAATCTGGACTGAAAAAATACTCCTGTTTAATTTATGTAAATCGATCGGAATTCGAGTTGTTTCCGTTTTTATCCAAAATGTTTTTATCATTCAAAAAATAACGTCTTTTTTCTCTCACTCGGGAAATCCTTCCTCATTCTATCCGCCTATTTCTGTTCGTTCTGTTCTTGTAATGTCCATTAATAAGCTGACTGTTTGGGGCGTCTTTCCGGTGGTCTTTTACTATGTGGCTTGTCTACTTAGGTGATCTTTGCTAATGTGTTCTCTCATCCTATTGACATGGATACATTAATTAACCTGTTTGAACATCTCATGGGTACTGGTCTTCTTTGTTGGGTCATTCAGATGAATATGGTGACAAATGCTTTAATGTTTGCCTTAATGGCAATAATTCTAATATTGGACGAATATAAGGACGTTTGACTTCTGTTAACTAGCCGTAAAACTGAAATGGAAAATGCCAGGGAAAGAGACAAAGAGCAAAGCATTATTCGAATATCAAAAGTTGCAATTGATTACAACTAGTGATGAAACGGATAGTGAATTCATAAATTTTCATTTCATAAATTTATTTCTCAAAAACTAAAAGCGATTTTTCAATACGGCTTGTTACATTAAAAAGAGGATACTTTAATTAATAATTGGTGACATTTCCACAAGGATTCTTCAAGAAATTAATTTTATAACGAATTTTGAAAGTTACGATGAAAATTACAACATCGAAAATTTTATCAAAACTTCAAATATTGTTTTCTCAAAAACTAAAAGTTATTTTTCAAAACGTATTGGTTCATTGGAAAAAAGACACTCTTATTAACACTATGAGAAATATTCATATTCATATTCCACGAAATGGATTTTATACGAATTTTTAAAACTTAATCGGCGAAAATTGCAAAATTCGAAAAAATTGTCGATTATTTCCAAAATTTATTTCTCAAGAACTGAAAGTAATTTTTCAAAATGCCTTTTTGCATTAAAAAGAGGATACTTTAATTAATAATCGAAAGTGATAACAGCGACAGTTCTGTTAATAATGAATGTGATGCTGAATTACAAGCGAAGAGAAGAAAACTACACGAAACTGCAACAAGAGATTTTATATATCGTATTGGGATTGTTACAATGAGGTTGCTAATGACAAACCTGATATAAATAAAGTTGTATTCAATGAACTAATTCATGATACTAATTCCTGTGAAGTACTAAGTAACTATCCGGTATTTAAAAAAATGGCCGGATAGGCCGGATACCGGATAGTTGTCGGATATCCGTTCCAACACTAATTACAACGATTTCATCTTTTAGAGATGGTCATGTGAAATAGTTTTTTTATACTACAAACATGGAGGCCAAAAAAGACACCGTGAATTTCGTAAAACCTTGGACGAACAAGTTATAGGAAAATGTTAGAATTTAATCAAAAAGGTAGAATGACCTAATTTAAAGTCAGGACCATCATGTCTAATTCAGCGACATTTCCCTGACTACACACCAGCTACTGAAAAAAAGACAACTGCAATGCGCTGTTTGTTGTAACAAACGAGATAAAAGTACTAAAAGAAAAGAAACCAGATATTACAGCAAAGTATACACATAGTCCATGTGTTGTACCATGTTTCACTTTATACCATACTCAACAAAAACGTTATGTTATTTGTTATGTGTTTATTATTTAATATTTATAGTTACCTACACTTAAATGAACACAATCACATGGAAAAAATGGATTTTAACATTATAAAACTAAGCTCCTTTAATTAATGTTTGCTGTCGATGAAAATTGTGAAAATCTTATTGGGCTTAATAATAATCAGACTTGCGTCAACTTTAATGATGACTAATTCCACCTGCTCGGTTGTGGTGCTTATCCCCAAGGGTCCCAATCATCGAGATTGGCGGTCGTGGGAAAATACTTCTGTCTCCACAATTTAGTCTTCTAGACCCATCGGTGATGTTTTTACAAAACAAGTAACAAAGATTGTCGAAGAAAATCTTTCAACCAGCATAAAAACAACGAATATTTAACAAATTGGAAAAGAATCATATCATAATAAATGTTCAATATGCGCACCATTTACTTCTAAACACAAACGGATAGGTTTTTTAAATGAACTTCTAATCTGTTCAAAATTTGTTTTACTGCGTCAAATGCATTACTAATTTTATTTTTCAAATTCTGCACATTTTGAGCGTCTTCAGAATAAACTATTTGTTTTAAATGTCCCTAAAACCAAAAATCTAACAAATTTAAATCTGGTGAACGAGGTGGCCAATCCACTTATTGCCAAATCTGTTATTTAAGTATGCTCGAGTAGCACGTGCTGGTACTCCATCGTGCATAAAGTAGCAATCTTCTAGAATTTGTTGAGGTAATTCATCATATGCATCTGTAAGCTCATTTTGTAAAAAATGTATGTAGGCATCGGCTGTCAATCTCTTTGGAAGAAAAACTGGACCTAATAACTGATCACCTATAACTCCAGCCCATACATTAACACTGAATTGCAACTGATGATGAGTTTCTAGTATTGCATGGGGATTTTCATCACTCCAAACGTGCGCATTATGAATATTAAAAATTCCGCTTTGAGTAAATGTTGCTTCATCCGTAAATACAATATTTATGGGAAATTCGACGTTTACTACCTCCTTCTGTATGGTCCACCTACAAAAAATCTTTCTTTTTTCGCCATCATTTTCTGTTGGAGCTTGAACGGTGTTGGGTGTTGTGATGATAAGGATAAAGCAACTGCTGCAATGGTTGTTTTCTTAATGACTTTTTATGCAGAAATTCTTCTAATGCTGGTTGAGGCATTTTCATCAATTCTTCTCAAAACTGGCCTTGTGTAATGTCTCTCCGTGGAATGGTTTACGCTTCCCGTTTCTTTTAATCTCAGAAATAGTCTGCTAGAGGTGTGACTATTAGGCACACCTCGTCTGCTCGGGAACCTTGTATAACTTTTATTCTATAATTTAAGTACAATAGCAAGCCACTTAAATGAATCACCTGGTATATACGACTTGATACCATAAATTTCTTTTTATTTTTGAGCGAAAAAAAAAATTGGAGCCAATTACGTTTCCCTTCCTCCGTTACGATCCAATTCAATCGGTGCTACCAAAAAATAAATTTTCGGCGACCATTTCGTTTAGAGTTTGGGGGGTGGTTCGTTAAGCCGGGTTTACACGGCTATTGATTTAATGCACCACAATTCGCCGATTGCGACCGTATTTACCTACGGACTTAGAACGGAAACGTAATTATTCGTAGCGGGTCTGAGGTCGCTGGCTCAGCTTGGACTTGATGTGCGAACGTGTTCGTCGTAATAGTGTGGATCGCGTGATGAATTTTAAAAATCCCGCCACGCCGACCGAGTTCGCGTGCGATCCCGCGTTACCGTATATACGCGGAAATCTCCCGGTGTTGCCGGAGCTTTTTACTATTACGTTACCGAAAGGCCTCCACGGCCGTAATTTTCTGGCTAGTACTGGTCGTAATTTCTATTTGCCAATGTTATTGCGCACGGGATGTTAAAAATTCTCTCTGCGTGGAGCTTTTATCGACAACGTAATTGAATATAGTTTGTGATATAAACGTATAGGTGGAAGATATTCCAACGATTTTTATTTTAAACCCCAAGAAAAGTGACATATGGAATAAACTCTGAAATAGTATGTGTGTGTTTGTGGAGTAAACGTGTGCCCGATCGTCACAAATTTAAAACTTTAAACGGAAAGAATCGATACACGACCGTTTCTTTTGAAGACTTCGAAAAGTTTTTATGAAACTTTCGTACAATGTTCTTTTGACTAAAAGATTCATTTACTTAAACTTTTTGGTTGATCATTTATTTTAGAAAGTTAACGCAAATTACTTCTTATTTAGCACAAATAAATTCAATCCTTACATTTACATTTATTAAAATCTAGAAAGGAATAATTAACGAAATAAATTGAATCCTTTTGAATTCAACCTTAATTTCTTTCAAGTATTTTAACACCCAAGAACAAAGCTTTTCTATTAACGATTTAATTAGAAATCTTTAGAATTCGTCTTAAATTCATGAGAAAATTTATTGATTAAGTGATTTTAGTGTTTCTTTGTAAATGTTTTAATAACTTACCCTATGATCTTTTGGTCGCGTTTCTTGCCTCCTGGGTAATCCCCCTTCAGCATCCGGATAAACCAAGTTTCTAATCGAACCAATAAATCTTGGTTCGAAAATAACGCTCGGTAAGGCCAACAATGTTAATTTCGTATTGTACCAAGCGGGCATTCCTCCGATGAAAACGTCGGAATTTGTTGAAAATCTTCCAAAATTAAACTCCTTCCCTCTTGTTGTCCTCATTTGCGATACTCCATCCACCGAGAGGATTGTTCTTTCATCGTGACGTTGCACTTGAACTTTATGCCAATGGCCATCATTTAAATCACGACCAACGGTGATTATCTGAGCTCCTCCACCCAAATTATAACGTAATCGAAGGGCTCCTTCGACCAGTTTGATCTCAAAGAAATCGTACGTGCCACCGTCGTCGGTGTATAGAAGGAGACCATTCGGTTGGTCAGTCTTGAACTCGAACTCTAGACTTCCGTTTGTTCCGCCACCCCATTTCCGGAATTGTGAGTAGGAGTTCGCGGAACCGTCCAAGACGAACGCCCAGCGCGAGTTCGTTAAAGCCAAAAGGGAATAGAGTAAAAGGAACGGACGCATTTTGCAGCCTGGCAGGGTGTGTATTTCTCGTCTTTTACCCCCGAGTTTACCGAGGCGTGAACACCATCGTTTCCTGTCTGCGATTTCTCGTAAAGATAATCGATTTCAACATCTTTGATTTTTTTGTCTTCCCACGATATCTTATTTAAAGAAAATATTTAATTGGTGATGATCATCTTAGGGTAAAAATCATTTCCTGAAATACAAAAAAAAGAGTAAGCTCAAAGTGTTTAATTAGGTTTCACGTGCAAGTTTAGAGTGGTGTGTATGGCTAAATTCCTCAATTCAACCATTTAGCCAGTAAGTGAATAAAATATGCACTCTGCTGTGGTACTCACAACGCAACTCTGTTCACGTCGTCAATACACGAAAATTAAATTACGTTACATAAAATATTTCGACTGCGTTCGATGCTAGCGTTAGATTCGTATAACGTCTACTCAGTTGGGTTATGAAATTTATATTATTGGTTATAAATAATGGATGAGTTGAATTAAATTAAAAACCGATGCGTCACTAGGTTCCAAACCGGAAACGTAATAATATCCGGATATAGTAATGTTCCTTTTATAACTTTCCTAGCAAAGTTCACTGATAAACCTGCGAGGTTTAACTCGACTATAAATTCTTTCGACAATCATTCTGTGGAGGTCGGAAACCACCTCAGCAGGATAATAAATAACTGAATCGGTGGAGTTTGGAAAAATTGATCGGTAAAATATTTGAAACGAATAGAGAAAAGTTAAAATGAAAATTTTTTTATAAAAAAAAGTAATAGAGTTCTCATCCAAATGTATCTAATTAATTGAAAATTATTGTGGTTAAATAATTTAATGAGCCCACCCAATTTATTCGTGTCATTTAACAGTAACGTAACTTCAATAACAATTATTAATTATTTATTGTATTTAATCATAATGGATAAAAATGAAACAATATGTAACTAGCCGATACTCTACTATGTTTAACACCGAAAATTACGGCTTTTGTTCTAGTTAATTAAATTCCCTTTTATGGTACGTGCATTTTTTAATATTCATCGACTGGCTCATGAATATTGCAAAGTGCAAAAGGGTATTATTAAGATTCGAAAGGGAACCCTCACGAAAGTTGGTCGCGCTGTAAGGCTTTTTGGCGCAAGATTTCGAAACGAAAGTTGGACTCGCGGGTACAAACCGGAAACAGGGCGCAAGAGTTCCATTAACCGAAGTTATGGCGTCGGCCGTTTGGGATTTGAAGCGGTAATAATAATCGATTTTCTCCTTAAAGGGCCAAAGCGAGAACGTAATCCGAACTGCAACCCCAAGATATGTTCTATAATGTCCGAATTACTCGTAATTTGACGTCAAAGTGCTTTATTTTTTTTGTAACACATGGAAATAGTAAATCCATTTTAAACTAAAATCCATTTATAAAATATAGTTGAATACAAAAGCGTCTCAACGCGCATATATAACAATAGAAATGGAAAGAAAAGAATGTAGCGATTCTGCGATCGTCAAAGGATTACGGCACATTTCAGGAATACAAACACAAATAATTTACATTTTCTGAACGTTGGAGAGTTTTGTTCGAGAATGTGCAGATGTCCACGTCCTGTGTGATAATATTTCAGAAGAATAGAAAGGATTTCGACGAGAAATGAATGAGATTTATTGTCGTGCAGAAACGTTTTCTACATGTTGTTTATTTTATATCGGAATTCCAACTACTTCTTGGAATATTTCGTTGTTATCTAAGAAATTATTGATTTTTAAATCCCACACGTGTATAAATTTACCTAGAAATAAAAGGCAGAATGCTAAATTTGCTATATAAACTGAACACACGCACATTTTCGCCACATTTAATCAATGCCTTACGAATATATCCAGAAATAGCGTAGTAAATTGTATAGTTTTGAATTTTAGTTTAAAAGTCGTTTATTAGTAATTTTTTTTGTATAGAATAAAAGCTGTAATTTCTATGGCGAGTATGTCAATTTTATGCCACTCAGTTCGTTCGTTTCCCAATGATATAAGAGCCATTTTATAGCTTTTTCTCGTATGCAACATATGCACTTTATTGATGTTGAGGGTGGATTGGTTTAATAATATATGAGATATGTGTTAGACCAATAGTGTCCTTTCTGGGTCATACACAAGCTGTTGCTAACTTTGTCACTCAATAACGTGTATTCAGCTTGTAAACATGTAAATTATTTCAACGATTATGCGGTCTAATTAAGGCTCAAGAGGATGCAAAACACCTACAAAGACTGTTGAGCTTCTTTATTAAGTGGTGCAGAAGAAATGAATTAAAGTTAATGTTAATAGGCACATAAAATATGATACCAAAAGCTTTCTAGATGCAATTTCGTCTTATTTTGCATACACCCTAATTAGTTTTTAACTAAAGCAATAATCTCTTTCTGCGTTTGGCGATTCTAAAAGTAAATAATGTTGATAGTGTGGCCAATGTAATCTATGAGATACACTGCAACTAAAAATAAAACATTATACATGGTCCTATAATGTATTAGGAACAAGAAATAATTCTGTACCACTAGTCATTGCTATTATGCTATAATTAACAATAAAACCTAACATTTTGCCATTGTAATTTCCTTCTTTCTTAGTTAAGAATCATACTACAAAGTTTTCTAGCATACGTTTTGAAGTAGCAAACGAGGATTAAAATACACACTGAGAAAAGGTGGAAAATTTGGAGGAAGGAAATTTTAAGGCTATGATAGCGACAAAAAGTAAGGCAAAAAGTTGAATCTAATTCTTGGAGGAGAACTCCAAAGATTGGGAAAGTCCACAAGTGCAATCTCAGCAATAGTATTGTGGACAAGTTTTAGAACGCTTACATCTTGTAATTAGTGAACACTTTTCAGTGTGCAACACCAAGTATATAGCGGTGGCAGAAAACTAACTGGTTGCTAAAGAAGCCACTTTTCCCTCTACAAAACCCTTAGGTCTTATGATATCGTACCCAACCTGCTACATTAACTTAAGACTTTATACCTCACCTGCCCGCAAAATTCACTGATACCTGAACCGGGTAAACTAAATTACTTCACTTCCTTCCGAAGTGTTTCAAACCAATCGATTTTTTTTTTCACAAACTTTTCACTTTCATTCATAAACCTTGGAAAGACTCTGTATTCATCACATCAGAAATGTCTGGGTTTTACAGAGTATAAGACTTCAATTAATAGGTGTACACCAAACGCAACTCAACACTAACTCTTCACTCTATAACCAGTCCTTTTAGGAAGGCATTGGATTAAAAGACTCCGCTTTGGAAGAGTTATAGCTACAGATGGCGATAAGACAAAATTCTTGGAGGTTTATTTTTCTAAAACAAAGAATAGTTTAAAAGAGTTGCTATCAGAAGATGCTCCCAAAGAGTTGTAAACTTTAAGTTTTTTAGATAAATTCAAGCATACGCCTTATATGAATACGCTGATAGTATTCTTGTCAGAAATAAATATATTTGAGGCGTTATTTGACAGAATTCAGGTAGTACTTAAAATTGAGAGACAGGCAGAGTTTGTCGATAATCTCCAAAAAGACATATTTAATTCTTTTTACAGATCTGCAAAAATCACAAAATGCCATTACTCGCTAGAAGTCCATTGTGCTTGCCAAAACAAGTTAAAAACTTGGTATTATTATGGAGCGATTGGTAAGACATGATGTTTCCACGTAGAGTGGTGAGATGAGTCTTAAACCTCGTAACTTACCACCCCGGTTACATTAAATAATACACAAAGAATTGCGTGTCGTATTTAGTTATAAATACCTGACAGACATCTTGATTTTCAATCCTTTATGTTGGGCGTTTTAAAGTTTTGTAAACATTTTTCGTCCATTGTATTTGTAGAATGTTAAGCTGACAAATTAGCATAAATCGATCAAATGTTAGATTATATCCTTTTTGGATATCCTTAGTTTAAGTGAGTTGATCAAATCGTTTTAATCTAAATTTGTTAAATTTAGTTATCTTTCCACAAACTTTTCGATGGATGAATTTTTACGTAAAATTTAAGTTGAATTAAAAACTTGTTAATGGGCGAGTTCAGCCTAACCGAGGCATACGAGCAAACCGGTGATTAAAACAAACTGAATAAAACTAGGTGAGCTTGACTAAGTGTTATCGTACGCAAGGATCGCTTCCCTTCACACTGCCTCCGGTGTCAACTCGGGTTCGAACGATAAAGATTTGAGATGTCAGAAGTGTTCAAAATTTAATCAGTAATGTTAATGATATCTCGGTCTAAACTAGTTAATCGAGCTAAGTTGGGGTACCTGGGCCCCAAGGGTCAACAATACTAGGAGTTTAAGGAACAATTCGTAGTTTTAGTCAATGTTCGTAATAATTGTTTGAATCAAGATTCCAAATTACTACCAAAAATATCAGGTATTGTCAAAAATGTGATAACGCAGCACAAAGTAGAATTGAAAGTACGGCAGGTAAAATTAAAAAGCAATTAATAGAAAAGTTCCTCCATCTCCTTGGCTTGTTATACAGCTTGATGACACAACAGATGTTACGAAGATAACATTCTTGCAGATTTATATCATATAGATTTTTTTGATCAACACAACTGCAGAAGAAATTTGTCTAAAATTTTATAAAATTGAAGCAACTATTATAAAACTAGATTTAGAGAAGAATCGAGTCAAAAGTGGAATCATTTCAAAGCTTGTCGGTGTTTTTAGAAATGACTTAGGACACATCCAAAGAATCCAAAGAAATTTTCCCCTTCCTCACAAAAATATGGCTTAGATTCAGAATGTAATAAAAGTATACTTGTATTTGGATGACAACGAAGAAGATTTTCGCTACCAATGGAGAACTTCAAATCGCATTGAAAGAGAAAAACCTGTTCAACGTTTGGCCGTACGTCTGCAATGAATTGCCACATTTAGGAATCAATGTTTTGCAGACTTTAATTTCATCTCCAACCTCATATCTGTGTAAGCAATATTTTTCATCACTGTTTAAAGCAAAATATTTTCAATTGTACCCAAAATATTTGCAAAATTTATACGAAGGTTAAACTAAAGACTAACCATCAATTAGCATTGGTTTGTATGGTTAAGACACAAACACGCGACGCGATTTAAGATAAAAGACATAAATCTGCCAAAAGTTAATTACTCAATACGTTTTTTTTCCAAAACATGCAGGTATTTGCCCATGTTGGGCGACTTCCCACGCGTTCGCCTACACGAACGTTAATTTAAGCATAATATTGATGGCGGGGTAAGGGTTGTGTGGGCGATATCCCCCTCTTAAGATAATTTAAACGCGATATGAAACTAATTCCTATAATTATTGTTATTTCCTCTATTTTTAAGTTAAATTTAAAATAAAAATTGGTAAGGAAAAGACAGAATTCCATTATTGACCGGCGGCACCACCATTTCTTTTAGAACTAAAAATCTATCTGCATATGAATGGGGCGTTTGTAAACGAGTTAATTCAAATCGAGTAAACATTTCGTATTCATGGAAACATGAATTTAAAATTTCGGCATTTTGATAACGCAAATTTGTTAACCTCGACCTACAAATGCACAGAATTTCGCGTTCATTACAATGAGATACTTATCAGGACAAAAAGAACCTAAAATTGGTTTCATGCATAAACAATGTAGAAGATTCCGTATTTGGTTGGGACCATCGACCTTTCACGTTCTGTAATCGTAAATATTTCAGTACACCCTTTCCAAAAACGAACGATTTTCCTACATTTTAATTTACTCCATTTTCTTTTTGTATTATTAATTAATAATAAATACTCGATAAGCATGATTGAAATCGTTGAATTTTGACACGCCACATACAACTCAAAACTATTAAATATCTAGCGACAAAACATGCAAGAACTAAATATAACTCGTTCTTTCATTTCGGTCTACCGTTTTCGTTGGATTAATCGAAGTTTAATTACATCAACCAACCTCAAACGGCGTTGTCAATCAATTTTTTCCCGGTGATCCTCGCCGAAATCAACCGTTTTCAGCGTTCTGCTTCCCTTCTTTTTCTCTTCACTTAAACTGAAATCCACTAATGTATCTTAACAGATTACAAAACGGTTTGAAGATGGATAGATAATTTTCGCACGAAGAAATCGACCGCGAGAAATATCCACGAACGGTTCGTTTTGTTCCGGCCCGTGTTACAGTGAAGTCGCAAACTAACAGGGTGCCATTTAAAGGGAACAAGGCGCAGGACGACCTGCGCGTCTCGTATCGGTTCTGATGCTAAGGATTCGCGGGCGACACGGCACAAGGGGACGAAGAGAGAAAATCAAATCAAACGTTGCGACACCACTTCACGACGCAATGAATAGCAATAATGTGAACTTACAAACGTTTATTAGCCTAGGCTGAAAACGGGAGGACCATGGTCACATTGTTATTACATTAAAATACTAGAATTTAACTAATTGCAGAATTTACAATCTTTTCTCATTTAAAATTCTTTCGTTGTTTGGGTAATAATATGTGATACCATTTATTTCCTGAAAATACTCAGATTTTCAGGTTGAAAATTTGAAGAAATGCATTAATGTCTAAATAATCACTAAAAATGTGTGTAGGATATTAATTTGATCTAACATATGTTTTTCAAAATGTTTATAACATTGTACATAACGTTTTCTTGAACAATATTCAGAGTTTCTAAATATACTAGAACGAAACAGTTTTGTTACATTGAATTTAGAAACTTATAATCTAACCAATTTTGTTAAAGTGACAGAGCTTTAAATCGGTTAAGCTTTATAAACATGGATGTGATGATATTTCTTTAATATTAAACGAAGATTTTGATGTGAAAGCAGCAACCTAAAATTACATTCAAAACACTCAAAAACTCTTTCTAACGATGTCACCTTTTGGTTAAGTAATTTAATTAAATTCTATCATTTTCTTTGAAACATAGAAAACCTTAAAGTAGAGATTTCTTTTGAAATGTGGGTACAGATATGTTGCAGCTTGCTTTGGTGTGATATAGTGTAGTGTATAAACTTAAATGTAGATGGCTACCTAACAGTGTTTAATTTAAATCAAATAATGAAAATCAGTATCAGGATATCATAAATTGATCATCAAAAAGTACGGTACATTAATGCGATAAAAACGTTGTTAATACAAAGTGTGTAGTAGAATTATAGAATAAATTCAATACAGTGTTTGGAAAAATTATAAGAAAAGTCGAAATACCATTATTTTAATTTCCGTTTATATTTTAAACAACACATCACAATTATCTCAACTGAAGCTAAACAACCAGAAATTGAGGAAAAACAAACGTATAATGTTCAGGTACATTTGTTTCGGTAGTTAGTAACTAAATAATAGCAATGTTAACACTTCTCCTCGAAGCTTTTTGTCACAAATATCCCTGTTAAACTCCTTTGCAAACATCCTGATACAAGCCATCACTTCTTAACTACCTCAAATTAAAAACTTCATTACAACAAATCTTCTCTCTCCCAATCAACAACAACCCTAAATTGGCTTGCTAATGGAATCATGACTCATAGAAGCGTATGTTCAAAAAGTTCAAAATGAAGTCAAATACCTGGAAAAAACATATTTGATAGGACTATTATACAAGAAAATGCACTGGTTTATGAATAAAAGCTCACAACTCAGTCTAGACAATAAGTTGCTTATGTACATATACTGCCATACTGAAACCTGTTTGGGAATACGGTATTCAATTATGGGGCACCGCTAGCGAATCAAACGTTTTAGAGCTGCAGCGATTTTAGTCTAAAGTTTTTCGACAAATATGTAACGCACCTTGGTTCATACTTAATTACATCTTAGATCAAGACCTCAATATGCTTACTGTAAAAGAAGTAATTGCCCAACGAAGTTCCAAGTACCTGCAAATTCAACCAAACCGATTTGCAAAAAATCGACCAGAACTATAAACTGACCACGCAAATAAAGCAACCAGACAAACGAATTTAGACAACATAATTTATAACATCTGTGTATGATTTTAATTACGAGGATTTGTTTTTATTTCGCAAATAACACACTCCTCATGGATTAATTATGTTTACTCAAGCATGTTTAATCGACGTTTCGGGCTATTATAAGCCCATCATCAGGATTATATAGTTTATATCATCGGTTATAAACTTATAACATGTTCCTGTAAAACTAAAACTTGACATTAACCTTAACAACTAACCTCATCTCAGTATATCGCCAAACAAACCACTAATCTAGAATGATTTACAACATTTATTTTGTGACATGACTTGTAGTACATAATAATTGGTGATCTAAACAGCAACCATAACAACTTGGGATGCCAAGTTACTAGTCCTGCAGGAGCTAGACTCCAGATACACGCTCTAGTTGACTGTACAGGGTGGTTCAAATTCGATGTTCGAATAGGCTAACTCGGAAACTATAAGAGTTAGAAAAAAAGTAGTTTACATGTCATGATCTCGTTTTTCGAGAAACTGCTAATGCCGAAAACCCCATAGCGCTATCGTCTTTTGTTTTTCCCCTAGAGGCCAAAATTGAAAATATCGTAAAACCAATAAGTGCAATTATCTTGGTTATTATTATAGGTGGAGTATTATAACTACGACATTATATGGACACTTTTTTACAGAGAATTTCATAACATAGTCAAAAAAAAATTTTCGGTTTTAGATTTTGAGATATCATGAGAATTTTCGTTTTTTTAAATGGAAACAACCACTGATTATTCGCTTATTAAATTCGTTATTTTTTTCTGATTACAAAAATATAGGGTTTGACAGGTCTATTTCTTATTGTTTTAGAATAAAGCTAAAAATAAACATTTTTTATAAAATTTCCATC